GTGGGGTTTGGAATGATAGAGAGAATGATAGCGTCGTCCCTGCGTAAGGGATGACAGACAGATCGAGAGCTTCTGTGAAAGGAGGGGGGGGGGGGAAAAAAAAAAAAAAAAACAATAAATGTGGCAGTTGCTATTTGTCTTTCCGTTGGACCCGATTTCCACCACTGTGGTGGCTCTGCTCTGACTGTCTCGTGCTCATGATTGTTGTCGCATGCTTTCATACTTTCCAACTTTCCAACTTCCAACTATGGGCCTCGCCACACCACTCTCGAAATGTGAAAAAGTCAAAAATGTGGCGCGTGCATCGGGTCATGTTCTAGGGGGAAGTTCATTCTCATTTTGCACACTCAGTGGTGTGGCGATGCCCTATGTATGACAGAAGGAAGGCCGAGCACGAGGTTTTCTGAGCACATGAAGCTCCCCACGAATAGATTGGAGACAGTCACTGTGTTTGTCAAAAAAGAAAACAAAAAGAAAAAAAGAAAAAAAAAAAACAGATTAAATTTTGTCTTTTACTTGGAAATTCTCTTTGTTCTAAGTTGACGACCAGCCTAGTCACACTGCCGCAAGCTCTCTCTCTCTCTCTCTCTCTCTCTCTCTCTCTCTCTCTCTCTCTCTCTCTCTCTCTCTCTCTCTCTTCGCTTCTTCTTTCATACCTCCGCCAGACCTCTCCTGATCTCCCGGGACTCACCGACCCCCCCAACCTAGGCAATTTTGCGGACGCACACCCCCCAACCCCTCAGTACCCGACCTGGGTTCCTACTCCTCAAGACTGCCATCCCCCTCGCCATCTGGAAGAGAGTATATCTTGACTTTTATTTGTTCGAGACTCTCATCCTTCACTATCAGGGCGAGACTATATCCTGATTAAAGGGGAAAAAAAAAGAAAAAGTCTTAACTCTGGTGTGTTTGTCACCACCTTGTTTCCAGGAAGCCGCCAGTTGCCCCCCGCTCTTCTGCATTCCCTTGATTGGGAGAGGCAACTATGCGTGTAGAGGTCCTTTGTATAGGCTTAGGGGAGGTGATAGGTACGTAGTGAAAGGTGAAATTGTTTTTTTGTTTTTTTGTTTTTTGTTTTTTTTAATGTGGCCCGATCGACCACGGATCAGATATTAAACTGATCAGAACAGATACTACACTTGATCTATCTTAGCC